AGGTTTTTTATTGACGTCTTTCTATATATATATATATATATATATATATATATATGTATATATATATATATATATTGGAGTGCGTTCTTATTTATGACCGGATGTTTATAGAAGCACATGTCCTTAACATCAGCAGTGGGCTTAACAAATGTTAAAAGAGAATGGATATGCACTACAATTGATTTTATAATGAGAATAAAATAAAGAAATTAGAGGCGAGCAAGTTGCATTGATTGAATTTTTACTGTTAGTTGGATTGAATATTTTCATCATTTTTAAAAAAATTAATTTATGAAAATTAATTATTTTTTAACTTTTATTTTGTATTACTAAATAAAATAAAATAATAGTAACAATGTAAAGTTATTGACAAATAAATTATAAATTTATATTTTATAAATATATGATTATAAATTAATTGGTGAGATCTATTTAATAACTTTTGTATAGATACTAAGTTAATTAGAGTCTCGGAGGGATTGAATATTTATAGAGTTTTTATAAAATAAAATATTAAAACTGAGTGAAATACTGTATTATTGTTGACAATCTTAGTATAACTACAGTATAATTACATCGACAATCTGGTGGTTAATAATCAATGACAACTTTTGCCATTGGTGATCACCGATGATAAAGATGCAAGTATTGAACCATGATGTTTTTTTTTGTCTGTCGAATATAGCTACCAAAACCTTCATTTATGACTGAGATTTGTTCATTGGTAATCCGTCAGAAAAAACGCAATATAGACAAGACAACATTATAGCTACACCAACGATTTTTGACCGAAGATAATAACATCTTTTTCTTCTAATGTCAATTCACCCCTCTTTGAGTTTGTTGACCATTTGAGTTAACAACAAGCTGACATATTCAATGAAGCTTTATGAAAGCAATTTCACAATCCCATGTACAAATTGGAAGAGTGTTCACTCCTCAAACTTAAGGAAAAATAATTACATATATAGGATGATTTGCTACTCAAAATCCTAGGTATAAAACAAAGAGGAGCACTTAATTTTTTCTGTTTAGGGTTTAACCTAGTATTTTAGTTCCGTTATATAAGACAAAAAACTTATTTTAGTTAATTTAATTTTGATAAGATCGATTGGATTTAAGAGAATCTATAAATAATGAGGATATAATTATGAAAATAAAAATTAAAAAATGGGACATAATGAATGAAGACCGACATATTATAAGAAAAATATATTTGAACACTTCAAAAAAGATGATAAAATTGAGATAGGATTGAGATAGCAATTGAGATAGGATTCAAAGCATTTTATATTTGAATTATGTTAAAATTTTTATAAATAAAAAAATTTGACAGAAGAGAAAAAAATAAAAAAATAAAAAAAATGATAAATGATATGATGTGATAAGAAGAGAAAAATAAAAAAATATAAAAAAGTTGATTGAGTGTATAAAAAAAAATGAGATGTCCAAAAATAAATTGCATATAAAAAAAATTCATAAACTGAATTAGTTGGATTTATATTATAC